TCCAGTGGATGAGGAACAGGCTGTTGGTGCTGTTTATTGTCAAAAGAAGGAAGACTTACTCCAGCAGTCTGACTTTGTGATGCTGACTGTGGCTCTAACATCGCAAACACGCAACTTGATTGGGAAAAAGGAGCTAGGGCTCATGAAGCCCACTGCTACGCTCATCAACATCTGCAGAGGTATAGCAGAAATGTCCTGTTCCTTATCATAGGGAGACTCTCTTCACTGTAGTGAGCCTTGAAAAATAATTTCTGGTGATTTTCTGTAAAATAGTTTTTGGAAATGTGAAGATTGAAGCAACTCTTCCCCTGTAGACAGTATTCCTAAACAGGTCTGTTCAGAATCCTACTCAAGTCAGTGGGGCTGACTCCCAGAAAAGAGTTCTTACGATGGTACTTTTAGTCATGTGGATACTATTTATCTAGGCAATCAATATGTTATTGCTGTGGATAGGATTGCCAGCTCTGGGTTGGGAAATACCTAGAGATTTGAGAAGTGGCGCCTGAGAGGACAGGATTTGGGGAGGGGAGGGACTTCACTGAGGTGTAATGCCATAGAGTCCACCTTCCAGAGCGGCCATTTTCTCCAGGTGAACTGGTCTCTGTTGCCTGGAGATCAGTTGTAATCTCAGGAGCTCTCCAGCCACCACCTGGAGATTGGCAACTCTAGTGTGGGAAAAGCATTTAGTGCATGCAGAAAAACATGAAAATGTGTTGAGATTTGATAAGATGCACAGTGGAAAATGCGCTTCAGAGCATGTCTGAAATCTGATTTGTTTAAGTATACTGATTCTATTGAAAAATATAACCAAATTTTCCATGATGTTCCTATATCAGGTGTTTGTTTTTCTTTAGGTTAACATGGTTAACAGAACATGCCTGCCACCCGATCAGTGCACATATATTACACACACAATAATTCTTCCTTCCCTCCATGTTTATGAACCTCGACAATCAGTGGTGCTGTGGGTAAAATGTTGGGTTTGAAGGCTGAAATCCAGTTAGACCACAGACTTTGGTCTCCCAGTTTAATTGCCTTTGCAGGTCTGTTTGTGAGGATAAAACAATGCTCCGAACCCTGTGAGGAAGGGCAGGATATTTAACTTTTTTCTTTTTTGCCCTATTTCCTCTCTCTTCTCCTCCTAGAAGGCTGTGTGTTCCCCTTCACCAGTACTCAGATACATATCTGCATCACCTACAGCATGAATGCCCATGTCCTCTCTGTATTATAAGGGACAGGTTTATAACACGGCTGGTAGTGCACTGAGGCTAGGCAAGGAACTGTGCTAAGAAAAAAACAATGTTTCATTATCCTTTGCAAAGGTCTACAGTGTTCTGACGCTCTCTGCATTGAAAACAAAACTTGGAGTTGGGAACCCTACAAGCTTCTGACATATACATGCACATAGGTTGAGTTGAGAAATGCTAGTGGAAAGGAAATATGCCACTTTTAGCCAATTGTTCACAGCTGCTCAGGTAGACAGCATCCCATGTAGGTGTGGCGAAGCCAGATGGACTAAATATTAAATGCATGTTCTGGTTGGGAAAACATCTCAGCTGCTGGAATTTTAAAATCCTTGTTTTCTGGCATGCTGTTACTCATTAAGTCAATGTTCTGGTTCAACAAACTTACTCTGCTTTTCATTTAGGTCAGGTGGTTGATCAAGATGCCTTGGTGGATGCACTCCAAAATGGAATTATTAAGGCTGCAGCTTTGGATGTGACCTATCCCGAGCCATTGCCTAGGTAAAAATGATTAAACACGAAATGCTTAACTAGCATTCAGAATCGATAGTTCCATGTGTACTTTTGGCTCAAATTACCCTGTTTGGGGCATAATCTATCCCAAATGTTCGCTAACTGCTCTGTGATTCATCTAGGATTGTTATGGGATGGATCCAAAGTACCACATGTAGAGTGATGCTTCTGGAATGGGACTTTCCTGCATTCTCCTTCCCAGTACAGCCCACTGACACACACACACCCTTCCTGCTCTTGGGAATCAAGGGATCCTCATAGACAGCGTGGGGGAGGGATGAAGGCAGTCTCTGCAGTGGGAGGAGAGTGGCAAAAATGGCCCCTCCTGCTAAAAGAAATGCCATTCCCTTGGTGTAAGTGCTGTTACACTAAAATAAAACACTTGTGGATCAAGCTCACTAGGTTTATTCACAGTTTGCTGCAAAACAACAAAAATGTATATTCACCCTGACCTGGATAGTCCAGGTAAGCCCAATCTTGGAAGCTAAGCAGGGGCAACTCTGGCAAGTACTTCGATGGGAGACCTCCTTGAAATACCAGAGGCCAGAGGCAGGGGCAGGCTTTATTCAGACACCTCTCTGAATGTCCTCCAGGCCCCCAGGAGGGGTCAGTCACCAGAGGTCACCATGACTTCCAGGTGCACGCGTACACACACACACGCGCACCCATATAAAAATACCAAAAAACAAAAAAAACCCCAACATGTATATTCATTCCTAGAGTTAGTTTTGGCTATGTAAAGGTAAAGGTAAAGGTTCCCTTGCTCGAAAGCCAGTCGAATCCGACTCTAGGGTTGCGGTGCTCATCTCCGTTTCAAAGCCAAAGAGCCGGCGCTGTCCGAAGACGTTTCCGTGGTCATGTGGCCGGCATGACTAAACACCAAGGTGCACGGAACGCTGTTACCTTCCCACCAAAGTGGTACCTATTTATCTACTTGCAATTTCTTGCTTTCGAATGGCTAGGTTGGCAGGAGCTGGAACTAGAGACGGGAGCTCACTCCGTCATGCAGCACCTGGGTCTCGAACTGCTGAACTACTGACCTTCTACAGCCTGCAGTTCAGCATCTTAACCACTTGAGCCACCGCAGCTCCTCAATTGGCTATGACAATTTAATAAATAACCATATGGGCTACTTATGTTTAAATCTGATTCATATGTTGTTTTCTTGACTATATAGTGCATATTACTTGTACCCTCTGCATATGCACTGAATTTCCTGAAGTAGTGCCTGATGTAGTTCCATTCCCATGTACACTGCTCTGAACTCTCTAATATATAAATTAAGCATAAATAAAAAATGTAATATGTGACTTGCCAACACCTGGCTCACATCACACCCTGAGGTACTCATTTTAAGACTTGGCGCTGACTGTAGGCGTGATGCATGTGTAAGTGAAAGGAATACTATAGGGCACATCTGAATTTGGCCATTTTTAAAAAGGAATTTGCCAATGTGCTTTCAGTAGTGACCTCACTGGAGTTCACTTACTGTAGTTGGTCCATACAAAGCCAGTCCAACTGCACACACAACCCAACTGGTTCTTTGGAAGAGCAATATCTGTAGTAGTGCCAGTGAAGGAGAGCACACTCTGTGTGGAAAATGCACAACTTCCTGTCCCCCCCACAAGTATCCCTAAAGGATCATGGAAAGAACTTCTCAGATTTTGTGGGGATGCAAAATATCTTGAAACAAACATAAGGAGATGAAGTACTTAATGGCTTTTGCTAAAGCAGCTTTCCCAGTCCCAAATACAACTTTGAAACAACCAATCATAAAAATCTATATTAATCTCATTTCACTTTTGTAAGGTTTTTAAACTTTAAAAGGCAGGGGGCATTTTGTAGAAAAAGAGGTGCAGGAGCTCATTAGCATAACTTATTAGCATAACTTGTTTGCATATGCCACACCCCCTGACATCACCGGAAGTGTGTCAGAAGGCAACACCCACCGCTCAGGCTCCACTGGACTGTTGTGGATTGCTAGCTATTGGGGGGGGGATGTGCAGATCTGTCCTCGCAGTGGAGGGATATCTTGTACCTGAATAAAACTTGGTCTTAAAGGTGCCACTGGACTGTTTTGGACTGGGGGGCCGGGGGGGGCCCTCTGCAACTTACCTGGCTGCTTCTTGCTCTGACTGAGGGCTGCTGGGAGCAGGGGGTGGGGCTTGTTCCATGTGGCTCTTTACTGCCAGAGCTCCACTCCTGTGCGCTCCTGCAGGAAATGACCCCTATTAAAAGGTAAAAGTAGAGTCTACTAAAATGTTATGTACATTTCTGCCATTTGCCCCCCTCCAGAGATCATCCTTTGTTAAAGTTAAAGAACGTCATAATAACACCTCACATTGGAAGCGCAACTGTAAAAGCCCGCCGCGTGATGATGATGAGCATGGTGGAAAGCATCCTGGCTGGTGTAAACGGTCTCCCGATCCCTAATGAAGTGCATGGCTAAAAAGTGCTGCATCCCTTGCTGGTAAAACAGCAGTTCTGTGGGTAGGATGTCATCTGAATTTTGGGCGTGGAAGCATGACTCCTCTTCCCACAGCAGTTCCAGGAACAATATGGAGGAGAGCTGGAGGGCTGCCGTAGGAGGGGGGAATTGCCCCCGCTCCCACATGCAAATATTTTTGATGGGATCCAACCTCATGTAATCATTCTGTGCCTTGTCTCACCATTTTAATTGAAAAAAGTGATCCTTGATCTTTAGTTTCACTGTAAAACAGAATCTACCTGTGTAGTCCTCTGGTGTGTTAAATAAGACAATAAACTATCTATACTTTGTATCTGCATTCTTCGAAGTGTAAGTCCTTTGCAAAACAGAACAGAATTCTTTTTAATGGCAATAGAGGTTTCATAGAGTTCATTGTTATCAATGCCAACCTGTAATAGTCCCGTGAAGATATTTGTGCCATTATGTGTTCCACGTGGTACATACAGCTGTAAGGCATGTGCTTGCTATCTGTGGAGAGTAATGCATTTTTCTCATGTGCAAAACATTCTGCTTTGACAGCACAATACAGCACTTGCTTGTACAAGAAACAGGCAGCAGATGGTAATGATCTTTTAGTGCAGAGGTCCTCAACCTTTTTGAGCATGACAGGGCATGGTGGGCGCAGCAACAGAATGGCTGCCACAGGAGGTGGAACCAGCCACAAAATGATTGCACAGCCAATCAGAAGCCTTGCTGGGCAAAAGCCCTACCTGGCCCCACCCACTTCCTATAGACACCTGGGTGCCAGAAAAGGTGTTGGCGCCTTGACAGGCCACCATGGTACCCACTAGCACCATGCTGGGGACTCGTTTTAGTGTCTTGAATTTAACAGTTTCCCACTACAGCTGTATTTTCTGCGCACACACTGTAGGCAGAAGCGTACTTACCTAAAATGAAAGCTGAAATTGAGGGTTTGGGGATGGTGGGGAAAAAATTCAGAAATATAGTTAGCCTGTTGCCCAATCTTACATATTGAATAAGAAGTACGTTTCACTGAGATCTACACTGTTGACATGGGGGGGAGGGAATGCATGGAACAAATGTTTTAATAAAATGAACATAAAGGTAAAGGTTTCCCTTGCTCGAAAGCCAGTCGAATCCAACTCTAGGGTTGCAGTGCTCCAAGCCGAAGAGCCAGCGCTGTCTGAAGATGTTTCCGAGGTCATGTGGCCGGCATGACTAAACACCAAGGCGTACAGAATGCTGTTACCTTCCCACTAAAGTGGTACCTATTTTTCTACTTACAATTTCTTGCTTTCGAACTGCTAGGTTGGCAGGAGCTGGAACCAGAGACGGGAGCTTACTCCGTCATGCGGCACTCGGGTCTCGAACTACTGACTACTGACCTTCCAGCCTGCAGTTCGGCGTCTTAACCACTTGAGCCAGCCAAGTAAATGTGCACACAATTTCTGCCTTAATAAATATTCAAATACCAAAAGCCAGATACGCCCTTTATTCTTTTACGAAAAAAGAGACATATGAGAGCCAACGGCTGTGATTCCTGGCCATGCAAGGCAGAGGAGGGGCAAGGCTTGCATCTGCAGGCGTGGGTTATCTCTTCCATTGGGGATACTGGGAAAATGTCAAAGTCTGGGAAGAGAACATTCTAGTCAGTTCTGAATAACAGATGTTGGGGGAATTAATGGAGGTAATGGGGACTGGTTTTTCTTCACATTTCAGGTGGCTGGAAATTGTCCCATTTTTACAGCTTTTTTGAACCTGTTCATTGGCCCTAACCCTTAATTGCAAGAGTGAGATTATGGATCTTCTAAAATGTGTGCCATGTGCAAAGAGTATAATTGCAGGATTTTAGAGTTCTTCTGTACTCTCTTTAGTTTTTAAGACTTACATAGTAGGCACAGGGCAGCTTTTGCCATCACAGTAACAGGAGAAATTGCTCTTTGGTGGTCTATATTAATCTCTACAAAGCATGGGAGTTTTCTGTGGGCGAACTGAAAGAGTAACAATACCATCCCAACACACTGAGTTCAGTGGGGTATATTTCTTAGCACAAACGCCCAAGATTTTAGCCCATGTTGAAATATTTTTTATGGTTTCTCTTGGTATTTTTTTGTATCTTTCATATGTCCATGTGTGTTGTGAGCCTGCACCTGGAAGTCATGGTGCCCTCTGGTGACTGACCCCTCCTGGGGGCCTGGAGGATATTCAGAGAGGTGGCTGAATAAAGCCTGCCCCCACCTCCCGACTGCTGGTATTCCAAGGAGGTCTCCCATCCAAGTGCTTGCCAGAGTCCACCCTGCTTAGCTTCTGAGACCAGGCTTGCCTGGGCTTTCCAAGTCAGGGCTTGAAATCTTCTCTTAGATGAGCAGCTGGCTCCACTGAAATCTGTGAAATTTATTTGAATGAACGTGATAGGACAGAGCTGGCGATACGAGGGATGCCAACCTGGAGAAAAATGAGTGGATTGGCAGACAAGAGCTTGTAGGCGGCTCAAAGGAAAAACAAAAGCCACTGAATAACTTTTATTAAGACCAACGAGGAGCATGCAAAGAGTGTGCAAGCTTTTGAGATCTTCACCACCCTTCATCATGCAGGACTTTTTTTTTAAGGACATAGTTCCAGGCAGGTGCGGATTAACAATTAAGCAGACTAAGCACGTGTTTAGGACACCAGGGCCAAAGGGGGCACCACAAAGTTGGGAAAAGGGTGAATATTGGAATTTTGATACATTTAAGTTGTGAAATATTAAAATAGATGTTGTATTGCATTTTTGTAGAACTTTATGTAGCCCAAGCTTGGTTTAGTTTGTACAGTATGTTGTGTTATCATATGAATAAATTTTTGTACTGCTGCAACCTGCATTGCATAGCTGGTCAGACAGGTCAACAACTAAAATGGACTGGGTCAGTGTGGAAAGGAGAGGGACACCAAGACTGGTCAGTGTTTAGAACACCAGTGAGCCTTCATCCGCCCCTGGTTCCTTCCAGGTCATGCTCTTAAAGCCCCCTTTTCTGCACGCAACCGAGAAGGGCGGGTAGTTTCGAACGGAAGGCAAAGGCTCTATGGTGTGAAGTGTGTCTCGCGCTCGCTGGGGGCGCCGTGTAGTTCCTGCGTCCCACCTTTGCGACAGGGGAGGCCGAGCGAGGGCCTGGCCGGCGGTCTGGAGCTCGGAGCGTCCCGGCTTCTTCGCTCCAATGTGGCGCGTTGGACGCGCTTCGACAGCCGCGGCCGCTGTTGCCAGAGGCCGAGCGGTCCCGGCGCCCGGAATGGTAACGGCCGCGGCAGGGTGGTGGCGGCGACGGCGGCTGAATTCCGCTTCCGCCGGCGGCGGCGGCGATGGAGGCCTGTTCCTGCCGGGCCGCCCCAGATGCCGGGCTCTGCACCACTCCGCTCCTCTCTGCGGCTCCAGGAACCTGCTGAGGAAGTTCCTCCATAAAAAGAAGTAAGGGAGCCCCGCTAACGCGCGTGGGTGGAGCCGGGCCCGGACGGCTTGGAGAAGGGGAAGGGGGGTCGGCGGCTGCCGCTGGGAAAGGCCTCGTTTTACCCACCCGAGAGTGGGCAAGTTGCAGCCCTGGCCTGGCCTGGCCGGCCTGGCAAACTCCCCCCCCCCCCCCCCAGGCGGGGCCCCCCATGCTTAATGCCAAGTGTGCGGTGGGCACTGTGGCGGTGACCCGAAGGTTTTTTTTTTCTGGGTAGCCCTTGAAACCGGTATGACGGGGGCTCTTCTCAGTGTCGCCAGCCCCCAAGTGGTATGAACATCAAAACAACAGCACCGTATGAGTTGTGTTAACAATATATTTACGTTTGTTGTATTCTGTGGACGTGCTTGAGACCATTGGTCATGTGAGCCAAATAAATTGATTGATAATTTATTAACAATATATAAAGTAAGAAGTGAACATATACGAATCGATTTTATGTCAGGAATTTTCTCATTAACAGACCCTATAACATGTTTTGGAACTATTTATGAGTCCAGTTGGATATGTTTTACAAAGACCGTCTGTTACCTGAAACAAATATCTGTTTAATGTAACAGACATTCTTTGTAATAAAACATATCCGATTGGATTCATAAATTGTTTCAATACATGTTATATGGGTTGTTAATGAGAAAATTTCTGATAGAGAATAGATTAGTATATGTTTGCTTCAGACTTTATATATTGTTAAAGCAACTCACATGGTGCTGTTGTTGTTCATATTACTACACTGTGGTCCTTCTGTCTTAAGTTGTACAGTCTCCAGGTGGTGGCCAGAGATCTCCTGGGATTACAACTAGAAGAAGAAGAAGAGATTGGATTTATACCCCGCCCTTCACTTGTAGTCTCAGAGCGGCTTACAAACTCCTCTCCCTCCCCCTCCCCACAACAGACACCCTTGTGAGGTGGGTGGGGCTGAGAGAACTCTGACACAAACTGCTCTTTTTCAAGGACAGCTGTGCCAGAGCTTGTGACTGACCCAAGGTCACATCAGCAGGTGCAAGTGGAGGAGTGGGGAATCAAACCCGGTTCTCCCAGATTAGCGTCCGCACACTTAACCACTACACCAAACTGGCTCTCCAGGTGACAGAGATCCGTTTACCTGGATAAAATGGCCACTTTGGAAGGTGGACTCTGTGGCATTATACACCCCACTGAGGTCACTCTCCTCCCCAAACCCTGCCCTTCTCAGCCTTCACTCCTAAAATCTCCAACCCCGAGTGGGCAACCCTAGGCTAGGGAACAGGTCTTCCACAAAGAGAGGAGCTGGAAGGCCAGTCAGTGAGAATACTGTTATTAGACTGATTTACTATTGCAAATCGATTTAAATAACTCGGAGACATCTGACCACTTTCTCCTCTTCCAGACTGTTTTATGGCTAACGTGGCTGCGTATTCTCTTAACTAGAATAGAACCCTATTTTTTATCCAAAGTAATCTTACTGCATTATCAATATGAGCTTTTGTGAGTCACAGCTCACTTCCTCAGGTATGAAAATATAATTTTTATATGTGTATTTGTTTCATTTTACACCCTGCTTTTTCCCCCAGTGGGGGATTCTTTTGTCTGAGTTATCATATCTGCCTCAGAATATTTTTTTATTTGTTTGTTTTATTGAACTTGTATCCTGCCCTCCCCTCAAACAGGCTCAGGGTGGGTTCCATCAATGTTAAGACATACACAATAACAAAACCAATTTAAAACAACAAGATTAAAACAATACAATAATAATAATAAAATACTGTGCAGGATCTCATCAATGACTCAGTAGTTTCCAGGTGGCTGTTCTCACATGCAGTTCAGGATAAAACTAACAAGTTCAGGGATGATAGAAATAGGACAGTTTTTCAACCAGCTGAGACTCAGTTTTCTACCCAAATATGTGGAAGTAATCAATTAGTTTTTGCATTCAACATTCAGTATAGCAGTAGCCTGTTAATACATTTCTAAAGTGGCCTCATTAAAATTTGAACACTCTTATTTACTAATTGAAAGGGTGTTGTATCAAGTGTGTTCTGGCAATTCTTAAACACATAAAGTTTACAGTTATTTATACACACATAGGCACACAGACACAGTAATAATATAGACTTTTTTTTTCTTTCTTCAAAAGGAAGAAGTTTTGGTATGATAGCCCTACACTGGGATCCTTTCTGGTAAGAACATGCAGGATTTTAATTTTTAAAACAATCCATAGTGACTGTAAGCTGTCCCTATTCTTTAAGTCAGTTGTTTTCAATTTATGGGTCAGGGCCCTCAAGTAGGTCATGGAGCCCCACCTGCTGGGTTGGTAGCCCCTCTAGAGCTGCCGTGTTTTTTCCCTGCCTTTTGGAAGGATCTGCTAGTGTGGTTATATAGCAGGCAAGGGTGCCAGGGCTCCTACAGGAAACAAGATGGGATCCTCCAGTTATGGAGATCTCCATGGCTCTGACCATTTGCTCGTTCCTCAGTGAAGTACACTTCTTGGTGCTTGGTTTGTATTTCACGTTCCCCAGCGTGCTTTGTTTGGCTGCCGACAAGCCCTGCCTTAACACAGATGAAGTCATAACTCTGGCTTCCTCTCTTCAGTCACATGACTCTCGATGTCATGTGCTCGCTGCTCTGATTGGGAAAGGTTGAAGACTGCTGTCATAGTGCATGTTCTTCATAGTCACATTACACACAAAAAAGTAAGAAATAAAAGTGACTGCCATTTACATCCTAGTGAAGTGTACTAAGGACTGCAGCTTTAATAAGCCCTTTCCTGAGCAACAGTACCATCCCATCATTTTTACATGCCATGAACTATTTTTAGATGTTGGCTGTGACTGTGTACAGTGTTTCCCCACCTATACAGTCTATTTTGTTTTTAAAGGTGCAGAAGCCATCCAACTGGAACAGTGCTTTAAAGCTTCCGCCGTCAAAAGTTAGAAAAGAAGACAGCATACGCAAAAGAACCCTAGATGTTCTGCTGTTTAAGGCTGTGAGGGATGTTTTGAGTACTTGTGATGCTGGTGAGGATCTTTACAATCTCAACGTAGAACTGTCTAAAGTAAGTACAAAAGGTATTGGTCCAGCCACTTTAGATAAATTTTAGAAGAGAAGAAGAGATTGGATTTATACCCTGCCCTTCACTACCCAAAGGAGTCTCAGAGTGGCTTACAATCTCCTTTCCCTTCCCCTCCCCACAACAGACAGCCTGTGAGATAGGTGGGGCTGAGAGAGCTGTTTTAAGAACTGCTCTTGAGACAACAGCCCTGAAAGAACTTGTAACTGACCCAAGGTCACACCAGCAGCTGCATGTGGAGGAGTGGAGAATCAAACCTGGTTCTCTTAGATTAGAGTCTGTGCTCCTAACCACTACACCAAACTGGCACTATCGGATGGCTTGGAATACTTAAATCCCAGTCCTTCAGGCAGCTTTGCTGATATCATTCGGGGGGGGGGGGCTGTCTATACAGCCAGTAGGCTTCCTATGAGAGGCATAACACAGTATATTATGGTTTTGTCTTGTGGTTCTGAGTCCTGTTACTCAAATGCTTAGCCTTTTGTGCCATAGTGGAAAAGCAGTCCAGTAGGCAAAAAAATTAGTTGGGTTTAAAAGGGTCCCAAGAGTTCACAAACTTGATTTTCACATATATGATGTGAAAACCAAGACTGCAGTTTGAACTCTCTATTGGCAACTTCACTTCCCTGTTTATAACCTAGAACAGGATCGTTTTCTTGGCCTTTCAAAACTGATTTCTTTACCATGTAAAATGGTACATTACAAGCAACAGGTATTTTGAATTCCTTAGGGATCCCTTGCACCTGATTTTACAACGTGTCGTATATATTGGAAGACTACTGGTAATACAGAACAGGATGACCACATTGATAAGGTTCTGCAGCAGCGTGCTCCATGTATAAGGTACCACCATCCTGTTACCCAAAGATGGGAAAAGTTAAGGGAAAAACCATGGGTCAGTGGAAGAGAACTTGCTTTGCACGCAGAAGGTCCCAGGTTCAATCCCTTGTACTTCTAGTTTAAGCAGGCAACAGTGGTTAGGAAATACTTCCCTAGTTGCTGGAAAGGTGCTTCCAGTACAGGACTTGTTGGATGAGTGCTCCAATTCTGTATAGGGCAGCTTTGTTGATATCAACTTTCTAAGGACTTGAGAACTGGAGCTAAGACTATATCTGCTTGCTCTGTCACCCAGATAGATAGTATGTATTTCTGCATATACAACCTCTTTCCCCCACACCTGTAGACAGTATATGCACATTTCCATAAGCAAGTCTGTTTAGTTACACTGCCACAGAAATTCATTTTTCATACCCAAATAAAAAGGTGGCTGTTGTATTTTGCATACCTTCACACGCATGTCTTCTCCCTTTTCTCTGTTGCTACTTGACTGGGGCTTAAGAGGACCAAAGCTACTGTGTAGAATAAACAGGAAGGGAGTGGCTTGTTTCCTGTGTCCAAAGCCCGCTTGAGCTATGCCTCTTTCGTTGGCTGACATGGCCCCGTGGAATGGGGCTGGGCACAGAACAAAATTAGAATGGGTGCATCTTATGCTTTAGGAACCATCATTGTTCAACAGATGACCTAGATGAATTGCATTTTGCTCCTTTTTAAAAAAAATGGGCGCTTTCTTCATTTTGTCGTTGTTTCCTATTTGGACATTGTTAAACATTTCAGCTGATCTAAAGGTAGTAGTTTAAACACTATTTTTTTATTTTTTGCTTTTGCAGACACCTTCTGATTTCAAATCAGGTCATAGGAAATGTTCCTCCAATAGTATTTGTTAGAGACAAAATGGATGTTGCAGTACAAGAGGTAAGGAAAAAAGCATATAAACATTGAGTTGGACTCAGTGACTTTTTTTTTTAGAGACGAGTTTTCCAGTAGAGCAAGATTCTTCACGTAGCGGAACTGGATCTAGTGGATTATCTGTTAAAAGTACTGGTGATACGTTCAAAATAACATGAAAAATACAGTATAGCTGTAACGAAGTGCTTGGTAGGTTTCCAGGGTAGATTACTCTGGGGGGGGGGGTAGGAATGTCTCATTAGCGTTCCCATTCTATTGGTTGCAATTGCATTTCTTCCGGAAAGCACCCCACCAAGGTAGGATGGCCTTCAGAAATGATAGGCATGGGACATGTCTTTGGAAGAATCACTTCTATCTCCAGGCACACATGAAAAAGGCTTCCTGCACTTGTGTAGAGTGAGGATGCTTGGATCCTGGCCAGATTGGGATGCCTCAGGATCCCTAGCTGCCAACCAAACGCCCCCTTAGAAACATTGGGAAAAATACCATTGGCTGCTGAAAGTAGTGGTGATTTACTAAAGTTATTTGTTGGTGACTTGCCAATTAAAAGGATATTTGGTCATCCAACCAAGTAAAGGCAAGTTTTAGGTGGCTTCATGCTATTCCTGGGATGTGTTTGGCCACTTTCCAAGTAAACATGTCCTTAATTTTCTTGTTAATCTCAGGGGGAGAGTAAAGATTCCTTAGCTAATTTGTGTCATTGAGAGAATTCCAGATCACTTGATAATCACAGAAAATGTTTTTCAGACCCACTGTTGTATGGCATTGCTAATTTGCATTTGAAGGCAGTGTGCCCAAAGCAGGAGTGACTGGGGATGTGTGGTTCATCTAGAATAAAAGGCCTTATTTCTGGGCATCTAAACTTTGTGTCGACTTTATTGCAGATTGAGCGGTTATTGGCAATTGCAGATTTTGGGCCTGCAGAAGAAGAAAATGAATTGGATCAAAATGATTTCAGGTACATTAAAAAAAAAAAACAACCCAACAATGCAGGTCCAGTACAAATGTCTTTGTCATAAAAAAAGTTTAAAATATTTTGAACTGTGTTTTTTAATTGCCTCTTTTCCCACTTCATTATCTTTAGAGATTAGTCTTAAATATTTCTTAGGAATCATTTGCTTTAGAATATGCTGCTTGCCTAATAAACCCTATTTCATACTACTGAACAGGAGTCCAGTAACTCCTTAAAGGTTAACTAAACTTATTCAGGAAAATGTTTCTGTGCATTGTAGCTTGCCTCATTAGATGCACTGGAGTGTTATATGACAGGGATTTGACTAAAGGTTTTGAGGGCTGTGTCGTGGCAACTATGAATTTTAATGCCTTTAGATGTTCATCTTTCAGAGGTATCTGGGCAGTGAGCTGCCTCTGTTCTATTCAGATGTCATGAGCAAACAGGTTTCGTCTCCAGGGGGCTAGCCTTAGTCCGTTGAAGCAAAAATAAAGAGAAATCTTGTATCATCTGAAACACTAATGAGCATTTATTCTAGCATAAATTTTTGTGGTATGGAGACCATTTTGTCAAGAGTCGTGCAGTGAGTCCTTCTTAGGCACACGTATATATGCAAGGTGATGAAAAAGGTTGTGAACAGCATGGCCATGAAATGCAGGAAGTACATGGTGAGAGGGGATTATACAAAATGCAAATGTCATCAAGGAAAGTTCAGAGGCCATTCATTACAGAAGTCAGTCACGATCCCTTGCAGTGCATTCCTATGCCGTTTTATACCCTTTTATAAGCCCATTGAGCTCAAATGATTTAGAAAGTTGCAACTCTGCTTAGAATTGAGAGCAGACCCAGCTGAGCTCTGAGCAGGAGCAGGAGACAGAGCTGCTAGAGGGATGAGTGTTTTTTTACTTGCTTTCAGCTGAGGGGATTCAACTGAGGATATTGTGTGGGAGGACTGTGTTTGGGAGTGTGTGAAAGCGATTAGAGTTGTTGCAGAGTCCTGGATGCTTGAGAGAGGGAGAGGAAGGGGCATTGTTGGACTGTGATTGGCTGTAATTCAGTATTTAAGAAAGCACCTTGCCAGAGGCACGAGCTGAAGGGCAAGCTAAAGGGCTCTTTACCTGTGGCTCTTAGACTAGTGGCTCTGTAAG